CAGGCTGGGAGTGTGATAACTGTTTGATGCAAACACCAGCCCCCCGTGGGTGTCAGACCACGGCGCTCCCACGGCCCCGCTTTGATCCCGGCACGCACCGCAGAGGAGTTCTGAGCACCCCCGCTCCAGAACCTGTATGCAAACGAGGCCAAATTACCATAAATGTCTTCCCACTGCACACTGTGGGAAGAGGGAAGGCAAAAATACTGCTGTGCCAAGCTCCAGGAGTGTCTGACTGCAGCTGGCAGCTCCGAAAAGTCCAATATTCCCAATTTACTCCCAAGGTCTCGCGCCAAGCAACGAAAAGCTCAACAGGCACTGACCACCCATGTCCCATCCATGGAACCTTCCCGGGCACTGAGCACGGGAATCAAACTCCAAGGGCTTTGGGGAAGTGCCACTGGGAAAAGGGGCCTACACAGAGGGACCTCAGCACAGCTTTAAAGACTTAATTATGGAATAAAAGGGAAAAATTAGGATTCTATTTTAACAACAAACTTTTCAGTGCTGTAATATTGACAGGAAAAGGGGGAATGGCTTCATATGACAAAGAACATGGTTAGATGGGATACTGGGAAGGAATTCTTCCCTGTGAGGGTGGGCAGGCCCTGGCACAGGTTGCCCAGAGAAGCTGTGGCTGCCCCTGGATCCCTGGAAGTGTCCAAGGCCAGGTTGGACAGGGCTTGGAGCAACCTGGGCTAGTGGGAGGTGTCCCTGCCCATGGCAGGGGGTGGGACAAGATAACCTTTAAATTCCCTTCCAACCCAAACCCTTCTGGTATCCTGTGAAGTGTCCAAGGATTTCAGAAGCTGTGAACCAGTTAATGCCCAAATGTATCAATGACCTCACAAATATCAGAAATTAAACTGGTCAGGTTTGATTAATGGGTCACCACTTCTCATAACAGCTGAGAACCTGCTCTTCATTTATTCCATTAAAAATTGTCAAAATCCCTTGAACCAGTAATCCAAAATTCCACTACGGCAGAAGCAACGATGAAACCCATAAATCCAGCAAAATTATGTAAAGCCAGCAAGCTTTTAGTAGCTTTTCCTCCCAGTCCAACAGTGAACAAGGAGCCTTATGAAAAGTGTCTCACAATGCCAGAACTTGCATTTTTTTTAGCTAATCAAGACTTTAAACATCAAAATTCAATAGCTCACACAAACATCACATTCAGCTTCACCAACCAATATACAAGTTTTTAGTGTTTTTTTTTTTAAGTCAAAAGCTCATAAGTACATAAGTCCAGGAAGACTATGACTAATTTTCCCATAATCAATCAAAACCCCATAGCAAAAGTCTAACATGAGAATGACTACTCTCTTCTGGATAAGGGAAATTCATCCCAACCTGTCCCATTCCTTGGATATAGAGACAAAGCTCTTCCCCTTTCATTCAGTGACCTTTTCTAATCAATGCCACTCATGTTTTTGCTTCAGCCCAGAGTTCATCCTCCTGCAAAAGATTCATTTTTGCAGGGGAAGAAAAACAAAACCAAGAGAAGAAAAACAGGGACTGGGACAGCCAAATGCAGGGACAGATCAACTATTCTGGCAGAATGAAGAACAGTAAAGTTTTGGGTCTTTCAAACAAAAATTTAATTAAAAAAAAATCACTAGACTAAAACTTATTGGTAAAAACCAGACACCAGATGTCAATTATGCATCAGAAAGTTTTGCAGAGACAATGATAATTCATCACAGAATGTATATCAGTCCTTATTTTATCAACTCCATTTATAACACTCCATAATGTATCAGTAAATGCAAAGAGCTCTGTCAAAATTACCAAGGTGTGGTAACAACTCGATTAACTTGTTAAACTTCCCTGGGAAGAGCAAAGTTCCCCCTGTGTGTGGCAGGGACAGAGCAGGAGCACCAGCACAAAATCTGGTGTGCAACAGTGGTGCAAGGCAATGACAGGCACAGCATCCTCCTGCAGCCACGGGGCACCACCAGGGACCAATATTGGTATCACAGACACAGAAATGGGATTGCAAACCTGGCTGGGGGACTGGGGGAACTGGAAAGGCTGAGAGGCCAAGACGTGCTTTTGCTTTGGACATGCTGCCAGCAGTTGTTGAGAAAGAGCCATAGCACAGATTGATTCTTTTTTATAGCCTTCCAGGTAATAAAGCTCTCTGTGCCATGCACTGCCAGAACACACACACAAAGGGGGAACAGGGGTTGAACATCCAGGATGAGAGGAAACCAAAGCAAACCGGTCAGTTGGGATGACTTGCAAAATGGAAGGAAAAAAAAGCAGCACTGCAGGAGCTGACTGTGAACTAGTTAAGGACATTTCTTGCTGCCTGCCTGTCAGCAGCTTTACTGTGCAAAGAGTCTTCCCTGGAAATGAAACAATCCTGATCATCCGAAAGGTGGATCAATTCTGTGCTCAGGAATATTTCCCAGGCTGTGCTGCTTTACCTTTCAAGTGAGCACAAAACTCTCTCAAAGCTTGACAGGCTGCTCTTCACACCAGGTTTGGTGCCCAGGTACGCTCAGGTGCTGTCCATGAGCTTCCCAGCCATCCCCCTCCATCAGGGCTGCACAAACAGCACATCCCTTAAACCACTTCAGACTGGGAGAAGGGAGGAGTAACACAGCCCATCTCCACAGAACTGCTAAAACACCTCCAACAGACCAGAAGTTCAGTGCTTGTGGTTAAAGAATCATCACTGAAATGGAGAATGCCAAAGGACAATGACCAGAACAATTATTTTTTTTTTAGTAATTTTCCTTTTCTACTCTTCAAATCCCTCTTGAGATGTCTCCTGTGAAGACAAGATCTACCTTGAGAGAATCTAAAGTCACCCCAAATTAAAAACCAAACACAAGCCAAGCACAGAAAAGACAATCATTGGTTTATATGAGCCACAAACAAATAAAACCATTTTCTCCTTAATTAAAAACCTGCAGTTTGGTTCTCCACTTCAGAGGAACAGTAAAGTCCCAAATATACAACAACTCTCAGATAACCTGCAGTGCTGCCAAACTGAAATACCTTCTTTTATGCAAAGTTAAACTATAAAGTCAAGCAGCACCTGAGAATTTATGTTCCATCTTCTCACAATCTGGCTCTGGGATGATCTTCATTATAGCTTTAAAGTGGCTATTTTGAATAAATACATTCCAAACAGCTATAAATTTAAACTGAAAACTAGACCTGGTCCTTGATGTGCCTTTGAGGAAGGATCTACTCCAAGCACAGAGGTCAGAGGATTGTTTCCTCTACAGATTCCTGATGATGGAGGTTCTGGAGAGGCTCTGGAGAGTGATGAGATACTTTCAGTGGTGATTTAGACACTGGATCTAGAAATTCATTCACGTGGACAATCACCTCCAGCTGATTCCTCTCAGTGTTTCACATCCAAACCTGCACCTGACAGGGATTTTGTGTCTTTAGACTTTCTTCCTGATACTTCAGAGCAGAAAAGAAATGGGAATGACAATTTGGAAAAGCAGCACCATCGCTGTGTTGGTTACAGCAGAATAGGCCAGGAGGAAAAATAAAATACTTGGGTTTTTTTCCCTGTTCAAACTGGATCCAACATAACCATGGAATCTCCCTGCTGCTGCAGGGGACAGAGGGGAAAGTTCCAGAAGCCAACAGACTTACACAGGCAAGAAGTTCCCTCAGTTTGTGTTCCACCATCCTCCTCCCTCTACATCCATAATTCAAGGACAGGTGAGTTTACCTGGCCAAGGGGATCTTTTCTTTTCCACGCTTTTCACCCAAAAAGAAAACAGATACATAAATAAATGATGCAGGGGAAGAACAAGGAGAGCTTGGAAGGCCTGAGGAAGCCTCTGACAAAAACACAACTGGAAAACACCTCATTTTCCTGGAGCACAAACAAGGCAAAGAGAAACTCTCTTTGTTCCTACAGTTGATTCTTTCTCTCTGTGGTCAGTAACAGAATATTCCATAGACAAATTTCAAATAACAACCCCAAAGGGATTTGTCTCCTCTGTATTCAAATTGTGGCTTTGCAAAGCCTTTCCCAAACACTAAAGTGTTGCTGATAAAGCCTCAATCTTTCAAATCACAAATAACAAATAAAGGGGGCAAAGCTGCTCAGATCCATATTCTCGGCACAGACACACTTTGATCAGCATTTGATTAAACTGGAAAACATGTTGTGCCCCCTCAGAAAAGTTTATGAAGCACAGATGATATCAGCACCAGCCAGGTATGGTTCACTCTGCAGTCTGATCGTGCTCCAAGGCAGAAATCCTTGTCCAAAGTCACCCCCTGAGCTCAGAGGGAAAGGACTGAGGGCACAAAGTGTTTCTATATCAATTTGTACCCTTTGTCCCAACTGCCCTGGGAGCAACCCCAAATTGGCTTTCAAATTTAGCATGAGCAATTTTGTAAGTTATCAAAATATAGAGATTAATTGCTCGCCTGAAAAGATATTGTCTGGGCATTCTGTTCCTCCTACAGCTCCTTCCTATTGATCCTTGTTCTAAAAGGACCTGGAGCCCAGCAGGATCCTCTGGGACCATTGCTCAGCGGGATCCAAATCCAATGGGATTTGAGATGAGCTTCTACACAGAGCCCGGAAAACCTCTCACACACCAAAGCCCAGACTGGTTTGGGTTGGAAGGACCTTAAAGATCATCCAGTGCCACTCCCCTGCCCGTGGCAGGGACACTTCCCACCAGCCCAGGTTGCTCCAAGCCCTGTCCAACCTGGCCTTGGACACTTCCAGGGATCCAGGGACAGCCACAGCTTTTCTGGGCAACCTGTGCCAGGGCCTCCCCACCCTCACAGGGTGGGGAAAGAATTGTAAATTAAACCATCCTTTAGTGGGAAATATTGTCCCATTCCATAATTTTGAAATCCTAAGAATCCCACCATTCAAACATTTTGAAGAACTTCCACTCAGCCCATAAAAAACCATCACGCAAGGGAAAATCATTCCGGGGTAAAACGACACCAACCCGTCGCCTGGTTCTCGTTACCATTCAACCACTTGTCACTTCACTTACCCGGCCTTGGTGCCGTGGATCTCCTTGTCTTTCCCTTTGCCCTTGTCCTTGGCTTTGTCCTTGTCCTTGTCCCTGCCCTTGCGCCGCTCCCTCTCCCGGGAGCCGCTGTGGGTCCTCCTGTGGCCGGACCTCTCGCTGCTCCGGCTGTAGGAACGCTGCCGGCCTCGGGACCTGGACCTGCACCACAGCCACAGGGTCAGAGCTCAGCAACCACCCCCTGCCCCTGCCACTGCATGTTGGATCTGTTATCTGACCCAACCACGGCACACATTTCAGGATTTAACGATAATATACTGCATTTAATAAATATAACACGTTAATAATGTAACATATTCAGTCATTTAATACTTTGAAACTGTCCGTTTATCTAAAGTGGGAAAGAAAGCATTGCTTCTACTTTGAAGGAAAAATATAAAATGCAATATTTCTTTATATCATATATAGAAATATATAAAATCACTTAAACCATACTACGTAGGATTCATCCATCAACAAATTAATCTTGGAGCTATTTAGGGGAAGGGGAAGGGGAAGGGGATTTTTCCTGGAATATTAAACTTTAAATTCTTGAGTTCTAATCAGTTCAGCTCGGAAAATAAAGAATTTACAGCTGCTACTGTGAATTTACATATTAAATCCATTATCACTGTTTTGTTCCAACAAGACCCAGAAAAACCTGAAGTGACGGGTCCAAACCAACCTCCTGACAGCTGGACTTGCTCAACTTAGAAAATATAAAATTATATACGTTATATAAATATACATATAATATTATATATATATAATATATTATATAAAAATATTCCAAGTCTGGAGGCCCAATAATGCAAGAAACTGCCCACAGGTGAAAGGGTTTGTGCATCTCTTTGGGGTTTGGTTACCAGGACTTGTAACTTGGGTTTCTCAGTGGAGTTCCTACATGGACATAGAACACTCCACTCTCAACCATGTTATCCATTCCTCTGGGATAAATTTATGTTGTTCCTGATAAAATTCATTGAAAAAAAGATCAAGAAGTATTAGGATTGTTTCTAGATGTATCCGAAAAACCCTTTTCATTATTCCTGAATTTCTTTTGGAAGAGTTTCTAAATTTTATTTAATAATTTAACATGGATCAATACACCTTTTCTATGCTACATGAGCAGAAAAGGAGTATTTGGGAAAACAGCCAGTCAAGGTTGGGTTAGTTTTTATTCCAATGAACATCTGAACAACCTCTGTGGAAGGTGTCCCTGCCCATGGCAGGGGGTGGAACTGGATGGGCTTTAAGGTCCTTCCAACCCAAACCATGCTGGGATTCCACAATCCTATAGAAGTTCTGATGGCACCTCATGGAAAAACGAGAAGACTGGGGGAAGGACAATTTTTAAAACAGCATCAAAAAAATGTCTTTAGCACCTCTCTGAATGCAAAACTCCCAAGGCCTTTAAAAGCCAAATCACACACAAAAAAAATCACTCCGGTTCAAAAGCAACAACTGCTTAATAAAACTTAACAATAGGCTGAGCAAAAGCAAATCCTGCCTCCAGATGAAGCCATAAATTACACTGGGGCAGAATGTTGTTCCTGAGCCTGGAATTTGTCCAGCACATGGGGGTTAATGTCCCTATTCCTGCCAGGAGCTTTCCAGCCCAGGCCCAGAGGTCAAACCTGGGCTCAGGTTTCCCTCAGCAGCTGCCACCTTGCAGCACCACAACCCCAATTATTGGTCCCACTATTAACACTCGTCCAGCAGATCAAATTACCCCTGACTGGTGTGTTATTAACCAGAGAAAACAGTTTTTCTGTCCCAAAATGGATTTTTAGGATGTCATCACAAATTTATCTGTTCGTTCTTAGCCCTCAGGTAGAGGAATTTTCAATCTAAGAAGTGATTCAGGATATTAAATCTCATTTTTGATTGGCACAAAGATGGTGTTTCACTGTGATGAGGCACCACAGATTCAAAGAGCACTGCCCCAAATTCACCATTCCCAGGTAACCCTGATTTCTCAGAACTCTGAAGGTAAGATGTAAAGTCCAAAACAGCAAAAAAACCCAAAACAAACAAAAAAAGAAGTCCTGTAGCAACACAAATCACCTTTAATTGATGTAAGGCCGTTCCTCACTTAAGGGTCTAGTCCTTCAAGCAGGAATAACTGAGGAATCTAAAATATTTACTGCTAGAGAATTTCTCAGCTCAAATCTGAACCTGATTTCACATATTCCTTCTGTAGGTGCAGACAACAAATTCAGCTCAGATTAGCTGGATGCTCCAACCCCAGATTCCTGTTGGTTCCCATGTCTAAGTAGAACTAGTGGCAGGTGACATTTATACACAGAAAACAGCTTTGAAAAATCAGAGTTATTGCATCAAACTTGTGGTGCTGCCCTTACAGGAGCACTGACAAACTGACAAACAGTTTTCCCTCCAGAAGCTGCCACTGTTGTTTCGTGTGCAACCCTTCACACCATAAAATCCATTATCCCAGAGCCCAAATCCTTGGGTTTTACACTTACGGGAAACCCCTGACACCGTTTGTGTTCCCTGTCCCAGGACACAGGTGAGGAAGGCAGGTGATTATCAGTGGGATATGAGTGAGGAGCTTCTCAAAAATGGGGAATTCTGCTCCACAGACTCCTCCAAAGAGGAGTTTTCCTGGATTTTCCATCACTGTACAAAGTTCTTTGCCCCATCCCTGGAAGTGTCCAAGGCCAGGTTGGACAGGGCTTGGAGCAACCAGGGATAGTGGAAGGTGTCCCTGCCCATGGCAGGGGGTGGGACTGGATGGGCTTTGAGGTTCTTTCCAACCTGGCCTTGAACACTTCCAGGGATGGGGCAGCCACAGCTTCTCTGGGCAACCTGTGCCAGGCCCTTCCCACCCTCACAGCCAAGAATTCCTTCCCAATATTCCACCTAAACCTCCCCTCCTTCAGCTCCATTCCACTCCCCCTTGTCCTATCCCTCCATGCCCTTGTGAAATCCCTCTCCCCCCTTCTCTAAGCCCCCTTTTAATTCCTATTAAAGTATCTTGCAAGATCTACAGAACAGGAAATAAAGATAAAACTTGATCAAATGGAGCTACAAAGAGTCATCTGTGTCACTAATTCATCACTAAACAAGAACAAAAGTCCACAGATCTGACAGAGAAGAAAGATTTCCTATTTTATTACTGTTGAAAAATAACAAGAATCACGATTAGTCCTATTACAGCAAGTCCCAAAACGTTCAAATTATAGAACTACCAGAGAGAAAGAAGAAAAATGAAGCTGGAGAGTAAATTTGCAGCAGGAACCCCCCCCTTCCCCCAAAGTGACACCCACCAACACCCACCCACCAAGCCAAAGGTTAAGTCATTTAGTCAAGTTCAAAGATCTTCAAAGAGCCCTTAGATCCAGATAAGCCCATATGTTCCCAAAATTCTGTGAAAAGCCATTACTTTCCAATCTGCTTTTCATGTCCGAGCTGCAGAACACACAGATGCTTGGCATGGCTCGGGATCCCGAAATTCCCACCCTGGATAATCCAGGCTCCCCGATCCCTTCCCCATCCCCAGCCCTAGGAAAGGGCTTTTACTCCATCCACACTTGGGCCGCTTGTAAAAAACTGAAAGGCTCCATAAAAGCCCATTCAGCGACTGCACAATAAGTGTTAATTTGCTAATTTCTTCACAGGTAATCAATTAAAATGTAAAATATTGGATAAAATTAGTTGCACTAAATTTCCCAGCTGCTCCATAAGCGTAATTAGTTTCACAAGGGCCATATGTATCCCGAGCAGAGACAGAGTTGAAACAAATAAGCGGATTTTAAAACAAGTTTGAGGAAATCTGCATTTAATTAGCAGGTGGGCACTACAACTGCATAATGTTTTTATACATTTATATTTATGAAGTGCCAGAAGATCTAAAGGCTTTTTAAAATGGCGTTTATTGTTTGAATGGGAACTGTTTTGCTGCATGCTAAAGTGATTTAAATCCTCCCAGCTCTGCTTTGAAAAAAATCATAAATGGTGAAAGAAAACATGTGGAAAACTGTAAAACTAGAAAGAATTTGCGACAGAAAGCAGAGACACATACCATAAGCAAAAGGAAACTACACTTAATTAAATGTACACTACATCTGGAATATCAGCCTAATAAAACGTGCAACTATTAATTTTCATTGTTCTGAAGGAAATGAGGTCAGCGGCGTTTAGTATTTCCCCAATTATGTTGCACTAAAGCTCTGAACTATATCTGAGAGGGCCAGTCTAATCTGTGCAAAACCCTACAACTGGAAAAGAGTCACCGAGAGGCTTTTTGAAAGGAAAGAGGAGTTAAGAGGCCAAAAACAAGACAGTGCTTGTTTTCTTCTCTTTGAGCTCTTCCAGTGAAGGACAATTTATGAAAAAATAATGTATTTTGTTGGCAAACAGCAACCCCCGCTGCAATGAACGTTCCTGACATGTCAAGTCCTTCCCTGGAATTCTTCTACGTGTCTCTCACCTGCCACAATCCTAATTAGATTATTATTGGCTCAATAGCCACAAACAAACCCAACAAATTAATACTTGAGCCATAAATCCAAAGTCTGGGCCAGAACAACGAGACACAACTGCTCTGCATCAAACCTGGACATTCACCTTGGTAATAAAGACAGAGTGCAAACACACAAGGAACTGCAGAAAAATGCCATGTTCTCTTTCAAAACATATTAAGAGAACGTTTCTTGTTTAACTCAACTTCACCACCAGGAAAAAAAAATATCATGTACAAGTTATTGGAAAGGTAAAATAATTTCAAATATCAATTGCAGTCGTTCAGGGCAGATAAATTATTAATACTATATATATTTAATGGGAATATGGTACATCTATAAAACATGTCAGGTCATTATTAGTCTGCAATTTGAAAATGCATGTAGTTGAGGGAGTTAAATATAGATAATACGGAGGGGAGTTATTTATTGTTAAATATAAAGAGAGTGAAAACAAAACTAGGCAGCAGCAGAGTCAGAGTTTAGGCCTGAAAGGAGACTGGTGATAAGAGGAAAAAAGTTGTTTCAATCCAGCAGTTTGGACAGTTGGTAAGCGAAAAAACACATTTCAGAATAAGGGAATAGTTAAGATTTTAAAAAATATCATCCCAGGTGCCAGGGAAAAGCAGGATGAAGTAAACACAATCCCCGGGACAACCAAGAGCCCCGTTTGCAGAG